ATGTTTGTCTGCCCTTCTTGCACTGTATGAGCTGCTGCGTTTTGACTCCGCCCAATCATGCTCGTGACCAGATGGAACTCGAAAGCCTCATCGAAACTGAAAAGAGAGGCGGTCCATCCACTTCTAGCTCAGGCGGGCCAGGTGACGAAGACAATGGCGAGCAAGGCGGATTGCACCGCAAGCCGTCGTCAGGCCTAACAGGTCCTGGTTCTCAAGATGCCAACAACTCAAACAGAGGTCCCATTGCAAAAAGGCGTACTCTCACCTGATCGTGAAGTGATGCAAAAACAGAACTTGCCGCCGTCTCCTGCAAATAACTCTCGAGCGTGCTTTGCGACCGAAGCCGGAGGCGCCAGAGTATATCTTGGATCGGTGTATGTTTTCTGTACAGCATCACTGCGGCTCCTCCACGAAGCCCACCCGGTGTCAAGCGTAAATCAGCGGGGATTTCACACATGTTCAACACAGCGTCCCACCGCCTCCTATACAAAGAAGGCGTTCCTTGGTACAAACGAACATGCTTGGGGAAACCTTCAAAGATTTTGCTCAGGAGGGCTACAGCGGCAGGGTCTCTTATCTCCATATGCTGTGTCCGTGCAGGTTGCCGTCCTAAAGACTTAAACTGCCGCAGTCTCAAGAACAATCCCTCATGATCACGATCGAGGATGTCTGAAGGGAAGAGGAGGTCTTCTCGGCAGCACTTAAGAACTTCTCCAACCCTGCCAGCTCCATAAAACGCAATCAAAGTTATACCTGCCCAACCAAACCACTTCAATTGCCATGCCATGACGACCATGGCACGAACCAAGCCTTCTGGAACTGGCACTCTGTGGCAAACCGGCTCCACAGTCTCCCACTTCGCTACAAGGTCCCAGCAAGGGGACGTCAAGGTTCTTGAACTTGGCACCCACCTTTGGCAACAAAGAATGAGGTGTCGAAACCTGCTGAGCGATGCACCATCTAAATACTGTTTGTTGCCATAAGCCAACAAAGCTGCGATCAGACACTCAGGAACACTTGTGAAAAGCCGCTCAACATCAACACTGTGTATGAAAGCGCGAGCCCAAGCAAGGAAAGCAACCAAAGCCTCACTCTCTAGTCTGAGAGTCGCAGTGGACAGGAGCTGAATGGAATCCAGCCCTTGAGATCTGGGCTCACCCTTCCTTCTTGGCCCAGGCTGCACGGCTTCTCCAGGTCTGAGCGACAGCGATCGCGAACACCCAGCAACGTCAAGCTTCAGCTGTTTGCCCCATCCAGCGTCACCGCAAACGGCCTTGCCGAGCAAGTCACACAAATGACGTGGGTATGGCTCTGCAACTTGAGTCCAAGACTTGCCATAAGGCGAACGACCTCGAAGCTGCACATGTTTCCGACTGCCGCAACGACACATCATCCGCAGGCCTCGCAATGAAGGTGAGCTGGTACCGAAGCGGGTGGGTTTCTTCCAAGGAGTGCCAAAGCGGCAAAAGCAACACCTGAAACAGCGGTCTGAATCAGCAGGTCTGAATGGCTCGAACTTCTTTTGGCGCCACAACCAGGAAGTGTCCGGATTCTCAAACCAAAAAATGATGTCTGGATCGCTCTCCTCTGTGATTGTAATGAGCTCTGCCACAAAGTCAGCGTGTGAATTCCCTTCTCGCACCCGGCGCCGCATGTTCTCCGACAGGTTGGGCAGTCCTCGGGGCCATCGAGCACTTCTGACAGGCGGAGTGACTGCCACAGAGAAAGAGGCACATATGGGCGCAGCGCCCCACGCTCTGACAGCTCGCAGTCGGATCAAAGAACGAATCTTGGCTCGAATTTCATCGAGCAATAAGTTCTCAGCCGCGCTTCGCTTCCACTCGAAACTGAGACACCATGGGGCCCCATTTTTGACAACAGCCCGGGCAACTCCGAAGCCCCCAGAAAACAAATCAATGTATCCAGGTTCACAAAACCCGTTGAAGTTGCTGCCAAAAAGAAACTGCTTCTTTGGGATACTCTTCAGGATCTCAACAGCTTCGGAGGTCAAACTTGAAGGATGGTCGTGAACACCAAGGCTCCACTGATCGGCCAGCTTGTCTCGACGCAGCCTGCTAAAAAGGACACGTGAAGGGCAACTCACCGGCATAGCTGTCCGAAACAAATCCCGACAGTCGTAGTCCGGTTTGTCGACATCCCCCTCAACACTCCTCAGCCAAGCATCGAACCCAGCGAAGTTGCCGGAGGCAGCTTCATTCCACCAATCGGGCAGCGGAACGTCGGGGTCAGCGGGCAACGCATCACGAGTCGGTCCATCGGCTCTGTTCACCTTGCTAGGGTAGTACATGTAACTGCTGTAAAGGTCGCTGCTAACAACATGGGGAAGGGCTTTGATCAACTCTCTGTTCAACGCCTTTGATGCAGCACGTCCTTTCACTAATGCTCCAAGGCTCACTTGCGAGTCGATACCGTAGAGGAAACGGCTGTGGCTGAAACATTGAGACAAACGTCTTTCTTCCAACAAATGCGCACGCAGCTCCAAAATGTTGATATGTGTGTCTCTAGCAACTGGCTTCCTCCACCTCTCCTCATAGAAGAGGCATCTAGCTAGCAGAACCCATATAGGACGCGCATCATAGGTATCCCCCGGCAGCTCGTCCCCAGGATCCAATATCCCATGTGACCGCAACCACGCCTGATGCGAGGGCAGGAGCTTCGACCAGCGGCCCTTTCGAAGCCCGCGTCTCGCCACCTCAGACACGATGGCGAGGGGAGCTTGCGCTCTAACTGCTGCTAACCACCCGCTAGAAGCATCTGTGCTTGTGATGAAGGGCTGAAAACGAGCACGGAGGTTTGTAGTTGCAAGCGGCCCCAAACAAACGAGAGTCCACAGTTCTGCAAGTAGTGCAGGAGATAGCCTCAACACCATGTTCTGCTGTGGGATACCTGTTGCCTCGAAAATCAAGTTCATAGTGCGCAAAAACCTTCTTCGTGTTGAAAATATTGAGATCCATGACCCTGCAATAGCTTCCAACAATGCAACGGTGGATAACCCCAGCATGGCAACTCTGGCTGTGATGACCGTCAACGGCCACAAGCGCAAAGAAGACCCCCGAACAAGCCCTTTTTGCCCGTCAAGCTCAATGCCCCAGAAGCGGGACAAGGTTTGGTTTCGGAACTCCTTCTTAAGGTTGACCTCGAGTCCATGCTCCTTGTAAGCAGCAACGGCCTTGTCCAGCCGCAAATCAGCTTGAGTCGTGCTTCGACCCTCGCTTCGTTGCCAAGCGGCCATCAACAGCTTCTCAAGCAGCACAAGATCGTCAATGATGACCCCAACCGACAACAGGCCTCGTGGGACGTCTCCTTGCAGCGACAACATCTCTTCCTCGCTCAAAACGCCAGTGCGAAGCATCAGCGCCAGGTGAGAGCATTGTGCGAACTCACAGGCGTTCTGGTCGCCCATCGCCAGCGTGGACAAACCGCAGTAGATCGGCGGTTCCCAATGGGCCGGAATGGCCTCGTGACCAAACACCTCAATCGCTTCCTCCCTGGTCAAGGGATCAGCCAGAGCATTGCGCACAGTTCTCTCACGCCCCACCTTGAACTGATAGAAGAAATCACGAAGGTCTTCCCCGGATGCGGCCAACACTTGGTCATCTTCCAGACATATGTCACACAGAGCAGCAGCCGAAGCCATCGTCTTGCACCACTTGTTCAAAGCAACATCAGCCATGTTGGCAGGACGCGCATCAAGGATCAAGCGATCACGTGTCAAAGACTTCGGCGCAGCGAAAAGCCCGGAGAGGGCCCCTCGCCTCACATCGGCCTTATTCAGCGGTTCAAGTCTTCCCGAGGCCCGCAGCTTCTTAAGGAGGAGCATCTTGTTCTCCTTGGTCGCCCTGATGTGAACCACAGGCGCTCCAAGCTCGTAGTCTTTGCCGGGGCTCCCCGTTTCAATGGGGTGGCGATAGACCTCAGCAGTGACTTCATCAAGCAAGGGCGTAGGATCAAAAGAGGGCGCTGCCGGGAATTCAAGCCTGTCTGCTTCTATGTCTTTTGCAGGACTGACCACTGTTTTCTGCACCAGGCCAACAATCTGACCACTGTCGAGCTTTCTGGACGCATAGTCGGATTCCGGTTTTGTAACGGAGCCCCCAAAATAGCGAGAGTGCGGAATATCAGAAGTCAAAACGGCGCGATGAAGGGCCTCGATTGCATCCTCATAAGATTCAACTTTCGAGGCGCCTCGCCCCATAGACTCTGAATCAATGAATTCTGGTGTGTTCCCATCCCAACTCAAAAACTGCAGTGTGGATACAGCCGACCATTGCTTTGCTGTCAACTTTGCCCCAAGGCCCAAACAAGGTGGTGCATACGTAGGAGAACCCAAACTCAACCAGCTGAGCACAACCACTTCCAGACTAACAAGGCGTTTCCGCCAAAGCTGATCAGGATCAGGCACTCCGCTTGCTCTGAAGGCCTCAGGGAAAGGAATAGGCATGGGCCACACGTTTTGCAGCAACTGGGATGTAGGCGCCCTGTCCGGGCGTCGCGGGCATTGGAGTATAGAAAGCAAAAATGAGCTGAGCTTGCTATTGGTTTTAAGCAGCCATCTCGGCATCGAATTCACAACTGAGCTTATGCGAAGAGCTGATGCTCGGGCGCCCGGAACTGTCATCTGAAAAACAGGTGAGGCAGGCGGCAACTCGCTATGCTCCTCATGCACTTTCATTGGTCTGGGGTTGCAGTGTTCTCCCCACGACGGAAAGGCTGCCCCTTGGCTTTGGGCCGCCTCTTCGGCGATGGAGAGTCTTCGCCGCTTGCTCCTTCTTCTTTCCTGCCTCCCTTCTGCTGCAGCTTGCGCCTCTTCTCGAGGTACTCGTCCGTCTCTTTCAACTGAGCCAGGGCTACCTCGCTCCATCGAGGATCGAGGAGCTTGGAAAACGGCTGTTCCCCCATGCTGACGTCCGGAGGATGATGGGTCGCCAGATTGGCGAAGGGCGGCAGGCTCTCTAAGCTCAACAGCGATGCCAGCTGCCAAGACCCCCGATCCGCAGCTACCTGGTCCAGTTGGAGGAGCATCAAATTGGCCCGAGCCCTCGCCTCGTCGACTCGCCCTCCGATCAAACAATCGAGGACTCCACTGATTCCCCAGGCCGAATGTGCCAAGGTCTTGTACTGTCCAATGTACGATCGGTGCTCCATCCAAGCCCTTGCTGAAAGAGTTGCAGGGGGCATTCCAGGCGCCAGCACGCGCCCTTGAAGGTCCTCCTCCATGAGCTTCTCGATCAGCATGAACAGCTCCTGGGGTGAGTGTGTGAGCGCTTTCATCAGGGCTCTGCGAGCGATACTTGACCGCTTCCCACTGCCGGAGCTGACGGGGTCGCCAGGTCCATGAGCACCATCTAAAAGCAGGTCCAGTCCCGGCTTCTTTCTCCTCTCCTTGTCTGCTGCAAGCGTCTCGACTATGGATGTGAGCTTGCCCACCGCCAGAGTCATAGGATCGGAAGAAAGGCCTGCAGACCCAGACCCTTGCTGCTCGGCTTCGTCCTCCTCGGTCTCGGACAAGGGGCCACTCGGCTTGATGGTGACCTGTCGCGGCTCCTTCAACTTCTTTTTGGTGGGAGCGGCTGAAGCCATCAACGACTGCATCTCGACGAGCACCTTTTCGTCCATACCAGCACTGAGGGCGGACCGAACCATTGCAGGGTCCAGAAGAGGATATGCAGTCGCCGGAGGCTCTTGCGCCACCTTTGCCGCGCGCCGCTGAGAAGGAGGATTTGGAGCTGTCGACGTAGGGGGGGGGCGGAGTGCCCTCGCCCCGTTTGAGCAGAGTCTGAATGCCTTCCGCCATAGTGCCAACTGTGTCCTCCAACTTTTGCACTCGCAAGGAAAGGTCGGGCGAACCAGACCCTTCTCCTCGAAGCATGCCACTTGGGGCCAGCGCCGGCGGCGGCTCTGGAAGTTCGCCCAGTTCCTCCGGAACAGTGAAAAAGGCGAAGTGATCCTGCCCAACATCCACCAAGGCTTGAGCTGACGGCCAGGCCTGATTGTAACCATCCAGGGAAAAAAATCTGGACTTCCTCGGACAAGTGAGCCTCGTCGTCGGGGCTCAGAAAAGCAACGTCGGGGACAAGATCTTCTCGAAGGAATCCCAACCAAAGTTTCAAATTCTCTCCATGCATCAGGACCATGCGGTCCTCTGGATCGGCTGTAGCTACCTCTGCACTGATGACTTTGGTCAGAGCGTCCGGTGGTAGCAAGCGTTGGTTTCGTCGGCGGTGCCATGAGCTGAAGGGAACTGCGGCCAAAACCTGGCCTTCCAGCTTGGCAACAAAAACAACCTGTGAAGCAGCTGAACCAGCCGCAAAGATCAAAGTGCCCAGAGGGTAATTGAAATCGACCCTCGAATCCTGCCAGACAAAGGGAAGGGGCAAATCTTCGCTGCCCACCTCTTCTCCGTCAAATTCTTCGCCTCCAGCTGGGGCTGGAGAGCTCATCCCTCAATGACCCCGTTCCACACGAACTCGCCCGCCTGCAAGGCGTTCTTCACGTCCTCAATGGCTGGCAGTCCAACGAAAACGGAGTCTCCTAGCTCTGCACCACGTTTCACCACCCAATAGACCAGGTTAGACTATTTTTTGTCTAAGATCTATTTTGTAAAAAATTGTCTATTAGATAACTTTTTTGTTGCCTAAGACAACATGATTTTTGGCTAAGACAACTTTTCAACATTTGTCTAAGTCTATTTTGAAGAAACAGTCTTAGACTATTTTTGGCTGTGTCTGAAACAATTTTTTTGTCTCAGACAAATCAAAACTTCCTCAAAACTACCACAGGCACTGAGGAAGTTTACTTGCAGTTTCATCATAGGCATGAGGAAGTTTATGATACAAAATTTGCATATTATTGCAGTTTCAGTCCATGTGCATGACAAACTTCCACACTTGCAGGTTGAAACTGCCTACAAACTTCCATCAAACTACCTCCAAACTGCCACAAAAAGAAAGGAAGTTTGGAGGAAGTTTTGAAAAACAGACGAGGCAGTTTCGAGGAAATTTCCTTGAAATTTCCGTTTGCAGCCGCGAAAATTTGTCTAAGACAGCAGATTTTTGTCTATTAGACAACTTTTGTTTTGTCTATTAGATAACTTTTCGTCACATAAAGTTGTCTAAGACAAATCACAAAAATTTATCTAATAGACAAATTTTAAGAAAGTTGTCTATTAGACAATTTTTTGTCTAACCTGGTCTATTGGGCAGCTCCTTCGCCGGCTGCCACTTGCCGAACACACGCACTGGGTCAAACACTTGGCGATCAAATCCTCTGACCACAATCCAGTAGCGAGAAGCTTGAGGAATCTTATCCCTGCCTGATTCACCCCTGGGTTGGCCAGTCAAAGCTCTCTTCAAAAAACGTCCCACACTCTGAGCTGCTGCCTCACGACCAGTCGATTCCAGAAGGAGCCGAACTAGGCCGAGGGGCCGATGGATCAACACCTGAGCGAGAACGATCAGCCTCGATGTCCGCGTCCGAGAGCCTCACTTCGGAGACCAAACTGAAAGTGCCCCCAAGCTCAGCCTTGTCCTGGAGGTCAACCACAATCTGCCTAAGCTCACGAAGCTCGCCCCTGGTAGAGGCGAGGAGAGAGCGCAGGCCCTGAATCTCACCTTTCAGCAACTGCACCTGATCTTCAAGGGAAAACACTTCTTGCCCTGCCCCTGAGTTGGTGTGCATCAAAGAAGGCGATAAAGTGATCGAGCTTGCGAGGCCGGTCCAGCACGAACCAGCAGAACCCTCAAGAGGTAGGCCCGCAAAGCCAACAAAAGCTCAACCAATGGAAACAGGAGGAATCCAACAAAGATGCCAGCCAAAAAAGACCAGGGATCCAGATTCCACCAACCAAAGCGCTCAGCGCAATATGGCGAATACGGGCTAAGCTCCCGATCGAGGAACGAGAGAGCGAGTGCGGTGCCGGCCCCAACTGCTCGAGCCGAGTCCATGCTATGACCCACGACGAAGGTGGAAAAACATCGAGAGAATATATTCTTGTATGTTGCTTTCATCCAGGCCTGGGCCTGCTGCACTCTCTGCATAGGCTCTTGCCTGTAAGCCATGTTTCCAGTACAAGTCTGAGCAGCCTTACATGAGCATAAGGTTCCACATCACCTTGTCAATCCAAGCTCAGCGATTCGCATGAAGTCCTAACCGCACACCAGCTAAGAAGCAGGCCCGTCAAACACCTAGGAGACAAGGGTTGCAAAAGGCTGCCAAAGACTTTCAAAGTGGCACGCTTTAGCGCCGCTTTAGCAAGGCCCCATTTGGGTCTGGCCCGGCATTCAATAATTACCTTACAACTTACAAGTCAGAGTAGTTGCAAGTTGCAATGCATAAGCAAAGTCAGGTTGCATTCCACAAGACTTGCACCAATGTGAACACTTGCCAAGGACACCGCACGGGAAGACCTATCACTGGAAGGAACACCTGGCGACGAACAAATTCCTTGACTCAACGCGCAACTTGCAACACAGTTCAACCCGTCTTGAACCGCTTGAACTTGGGGACTTGGCATGGCGGCTGTTGAACAGGAAAGAATGAGCCCTTGAAGCGGTCGCAAGGGTTGAAAGGGGACCTTTAAAAGGGCCCTTACATGCACTTACCTTTTCTCGTTTTCTCATTTTGTTCTTCTTTTTATTTCAAATAGGAAACAGCCTAAAAGAGACACCTTTTTCCTTGAGCCAAAGTCACGCGATGTAGGGGCAATGTATGTACACTAGCTGTGAAAAATACCCCCCGCGGCGCCGCCAGTTCACTGGCAGCACCGAAGAGGCAGACAGCAGCCACCATAGACCTTAGGACGGGCTGCAATGCTATGTACAATATGCACGACCTACGAATGCGTGGTTGTAGTGGAGAAAGTTGCAAATGAGGTTCGGCTCTTTTTGCGCTCGTAGCGGGATGCTGCGAAAGACAAAATACACGGCTTAGGTTTCCACCTAGCATCACGGGAGCAATACCACTCCAAACAAGATGCCATAGGTGACTTTAACCGTGAATTACTATAGACAAGATGATTGCACAAGGCATGCCAGCCAAAATGGACACGGCAAACCTTCCGGTTCGCAACGCTGTTGAAACAGTTAGCCCAAAAGATGACGGACGGCTAACGTTCCCGTTAGCGTAACGAACTTGAAACTCCAATACTTCACATGCCAACATGAGAAAGAAAGCGTTCCGGCTAACGTTCCCGTTAGCATGGAAGACACACACTAGTGGCCATAATGGATCTATGGGTCCCACTCCCAGTACCATCCCCGGGAGGCAGTCCACTTCCACGAAAAGCTCCAAGATCCGGACCACTCTCGCTCGCCATAGTAAACCCGCTCCTGGGCAGGCTTACCTTTGCCCTTCTCCTTGCCCTTCTCTTTGCCCTGCTCTTTGCCCTGCCCCTTGTACGGCTCGGACTTATACTGCCCTTTCTGCGGCTCATATTTGCCCTTGCCCTTCGGCTGACTATCGCTCTTGCCCTTGCCTTTGGCCTTGGCTGCGCCCTTCATTGCAATGTCCTGGGCAATGGTGCGCTCCGGCGGCCCGACCACAGCATCAGAAGAGCTTCCGGCTGGGCCCTTTCCCTCCGAGGGCTTCGACACCATTCGCCACTGGTGTGCGGCTGGCGCCGATGGGCGCGGGCGATCAGATTTGCCCTTGCCCTTCCCCTTGCGGGATTGGGTCCGCTGCTGGAGGCGTTGCTCGTGATAGGTAGGGCAGTCGATCTTGTAGTGCGGCCCCCCGCACACGAAGCAACCGGAGGCTGGAGCTTTTCCTTTGCCTTTGCCCTTCTTGGCTTTATGCTCGGCCTGGTCAACGGGAAAGAATCCAGATCGTAGATTCTGGTTCGCCGTCGACTTGCGAGACACCGCACTGACCTTCTTGTGCGTCCCCTCGATCACCTTCAAGCTGTGCCCAAATTCATTTGCAGCATCGGGCCAGTTCAATCGGGCGAAGGACACAAGATCTTTGAGGATGTTCTCGGCCGAGCCTTCCGGCTGGCATTGCTTATCGTTCCAGCCGATGATCACGGGCGGAGGCTGATTCTTCTGCAAGATTGCAAAATCGACGTACGTGGCAAACTGCGCTAAGGTCAAAAACCGGCATTTGTGTGCCACGAACGCCTCGTCAGCCAAATTGACAGGATCGTCGTCGCCCCTCTCAAGCTTCAAGATGAAGCAGAGACGGGTCGCACGAGCCTCCATCTCCTCTTGCTCTTCTGCAGCCTGATCATCCTTTCCGGTGCCCTTTCCCTTCTTTCCTTTCCTCTGCTCGGCTGTTCTTCCAAGCTTCGGATTCATGCTTCGTCCGAGCCGCTGCAGGAAGTCGAGTGCATCGGGCGTGAGGTTCGCCCTTGCACAATTCACCGCATAAAACGGGTCGGTTTCCAGCCTCTCACGAAGGGTTGCGGCACCACGTTTCTTGGCTTGACGAATGTGGGCTTTCGCGTTGTCACGAAGGACTCCGAAGGCAGATCGGGCACCACGGCGTTCAGTGTCGCCGGCTTCAGCTGCGGATTTGGTTTGTCTTGCTTTCCTCGGGATCCGCTTGATGAGGTCTTCGATCACACAAGTTGTGTTCTGAAGATCTGCTTCAGCCTGTGCCCTGGCCGCTTCAGTGGCAATCCTGGCGTCCGGCCACACCGTCAGGTGGGCTTTGCAGTAGTCGCACTTGATTCCTCCCTGCCAATTCTCATTTCCGCAGAGCGGAGTGCGACACTTCTCCACAGGGATCCGAAGGATCACGTTAATGGCGACATCCCTGGGCTCGAGATCATAGCTGTCTTGCCCACGCGCCCACGGACGATTCCGGTTGCGGTGCGCGCTCCTCAGCCCCGCGATGTCAGAGTTCTGGACAATCGCACAGGGGGCGAGCATGTAGCCCCTCAACTCGCAAGACTCAGCCTCAGTTCCCGGCTGCGCCTTCCGGCGAGCATCGGTTTGGGCAAGTTCATCGATGACCCCTTCGAGCTCACGGGGTGGTCGAACGATGTTCACTGCACCCTTGACGACCTTGGACTTGACGTCCGCCCAGTTGTCGACCAACATAAAATTTTTCATCATCCCGAGACGGGAGAGCTGATACTGGGCCGGTGCTGCGGGGTGATTCGGATCGGCATCCTGAAATTCCTTGAGGCTGGAATGATAATCACTCCGGAATTTCGGATAGGCTGGATTTGCCCAAGCGAACGATGCATCCCGTGCGTTATACGCAAACATCAGATGTTTATTGCTAATCCAATCCGGAGAAAGGATAGCTGCATCGGTGCGGAAGAGCTTCACACCCTCCTGAAGCATCAACTCTGTGTCGAATGCCAGGTAAATGGGTTGACCGGCTCGCGTTCCCGCGAGCTTGCGCATATTCG